AGCGTGGAGTAAGCACCGCGGGGCAAAGGGCTGGTGGGTGGGCTCAGGCAGTCGGAGCGGGGCCTTTCTGCGGAGCTGGGTGGCCGTGGAGGTGAACGGGCGCTTGGGGGCACCCTCCGCGCTGGCGTCTTCTCCTCGGCAAGAGCTCGGTGCTTCCCTGAAGGACCGGGGTGCTTTTCCAGCAGGTTTGGGACCTCCCAGTCCCAGCCTGGAGGAGGAGGATGCCCGCCCCGGGCTACTCCTCTGGTCTGGGGCCGCGTTGCTGGTGGCAGTGGCAGGGAGGGGACTTGGTGTAGCTGGGGGAGGTGGGGCAGGACGGTGCGGCCGGCCGGGCCAGGAACCGGGGGCGGCAAGGCTGGAAGAGGAGGAGAGGCCCCCGGGTGAAGTTGGGGGAGCCCTGAACCCGCTCAGCAGCTCAGGGCTCGGCGAGTGGACACGGCGGCGCTCGGGGCCTTGGCCCCCATCTTGGGCTCAGCCCGCGGCTCCTCTCAGCCCCCTCCTTCCCACCGCAGCCCCCAGTACTGCAAAGTGGTGCCAGGGGAGGGGATGCCGCTGCTCCAGGACCCCCGGCGCAAGGGTGACCTCCTCATATATTTCAACATCTCCTTTCCCAAGAAGCTGACGCCGGACAAGAAAATGCTCTTAAAAAGCGCCCTCCTCTCCTAGGGGACGCTGCCGTTCCCAATAAAGCTCTGGAGCCAGCGCTGTGGCCGGTTGCTCCCAGCACCGAGCACCCTAAAACCCAGCACCCTTGCAGCAGTTGCCCCTGGAGCCCAGCCCCACCTTGCTCTCCCGACTCTTCTCCATTGCTGCCACCCCGCAACAGCGGCACCACGGCGCGGTGGAGGGTGATGGAAGATTTTTTTTGAGGGGGGGGTTTGGAGCATTCCCAGCTCAGCTCATGTGTGGGAACGACGACCCTGCGCAGGGAGGCGAGGGAAAGGCCACAAATCCGGGGCAGGAAAGAGCACAGGATTGACGCAAAGCCTCGCTGCGCTCTGGAGCGGCCGGGATGGGGGTCAGCGCAGCAGCGCTCCTCTGCCTCGTCTTCACTGAGGTCAGCAACGAGCCTGGCGCAGGAGCCGGCCCCGAAGGCAGAGAAGCTTTTGGGGCTCAGGGAGGGGGGTTTTTGAACCCCAAAAGCCAGTCCCCGATGGCATGTGACACCCTGAGAAGCCAAATGCCTTTTGCTTTTGGTTAAGGCCCGGTTTGCCTTTTCCAGCAGCACCCCAGGGGCCGGAAAATGACCCTAAACCCCCCCAAAACCAAAGCGAGGGCGCCCTGCTGCGATCAGACCCCATAGGGGCCGTTTATTGGAAGCATCAGTCAGGAACAGCAGGAA